ACACTGTGAAGGAGAAAGAATTGACCTGTACTACTGTGCCTTTCAAAACTTCAGTCTTCAAGAGTGACTATTTGTTACACTGATAAAGTATGAATCTGCTTTTTCTACGATTAGATATTTTCTGATTCTTATTTACATGAAATATTTTAATAAAAAACTTAAAAAATGAAATATTTTTATGTACTCTAAATATTTAATTAGGAAAATCGGTAAGACAATTTTACGATTGATAAATAGAAAAGAAAACAGGAATAAAGTATATTTTTACCTGTGTAATGTCACTGAGGTTCATTTTAACGCCAACCACTTCGGTATAATGAGTGTGACCATAAATGATCCAACAAATGCTGATATAACGTAACCCATCGAGACACCTAATAGAATCTCTGTGCCTGTCGGTTCTTAGCAAATTCTTTCCATTCGTGTAGACGGAGAACGAAGTTAAAAGCCCGTGTCTCCTGTCTGAATATGATACAACGGTATGATATTATTTCAGATATGATTTTCAACAAAAGATAATACGAATTTACAGCGAATTTGCATTTACGTAACACAGAGAGAGAAACAACTCACCTTTTCGGTTCAACGTACTCAGATGGCCTTGTTTAGCGATGTCGTAACTTGTGCTGGCAATTATGATCACCACGAATATCGCGAGGATCGATCTGAAATTTGATACGACCTATATTAACGCCTCTTGCCGAACGTTTACTTACACGTGTGCTTAATGAGATGTGAAACAAAACAGAATTTCAAGGAAGCTTAAGGTAGAATAAAGAATAAAAAATGTCCACAAAGTTTTAAACTTTCATTTTCTTCATGTTTGTTCTTGTTTCTTTCTTTCTTTTTTTCTTCTCTTTGTCAGAAGGTAACTGTATTTAACGAGCGCAAACGAGAAGGAATTATATATTTCTCGTTTATTTGTTTCTTAATTGAAATGAAATTAAACATTCTCGACCCTTTCGCTGTGTAATTATTCTTTCATATATTTTAAAAATAATATGTGATCTCTATCGTTACAGGTCGTCGAGTTACGTTGAATCATCCTGTGTAGTGAGTAAACAAGTAAATAAATTACTCAATTTTTAATACTCTTTTAATTTACATAAAGAAATGCAGGATGTTCTATTCAAAGAAGTCAAGGTAACCTTCAAAACTTGAGGTGTAAACAATGCAGAACAGAAACAATTATCCTAACCTATATTATGCCCCTTACAATCATGCAACTTTTGATTCAGGTGAGGTTAGAAATCACCCTGTGTACACTAAGTAAATAAAGAAAGAAAGAAAGAAAAAAGGAACGAGATTACAAAATAAACAAATAAATAAAGAAATAAGCAAATAAATAAGAGAGAAAAAAAATGGTAATTGACGTTGTTGTCGAGATGCACACGTTCAGCCTTGCCCTCGAAGTGAATGGAATCGAAGCGAAAGAAGGAACGCGATGCCAGTTGGTGTTACTCGCGTTACAAAAGCGAAAACCACGTTCTACGTTGGAACACGATAAACATGATTACGTTCAGGTTCCACCTACATGTAGATCCAGTCGGTTACGTCGAAGACAGGCCGATCCGTTTCTGCGGTGCGACACGACACGTTCACCACCATGTCCACGCGATCCTCCACCTTCAGAGGGTCGAGGCCAAGCTCCACCGCCTCCTGGATTTCCGTGTGGTTGCAAGTAGACGGTACGCACCACATCCACTCGTAGTTTACCGAACGTCCCTTCCATTTCGTGTAACCCTGAAATTAACCATTATCCTTCTATTAGCCCCTTGCCGTATGGCAACCGAGTCAAACTCGACGCATAGATTCTGATCTCGAGATGCGAGAAAAATAAAAATTTGGTGTTTCGAAGGTTTTGAAAATATGTGAAATTGGATATATGTATTTAGGAAATATTTAAAACGTTGAAGATTTAAAAGATAAAAGGAAATATTGAAAATTCAGAAGATTACAGAAAATTTCTAAAATTGACTGCTGAGGGTAAATGATAAAAATTCGCGAACTAACTTTTCTCCAAGTCTGTCGCTTACGTCACCTTCCTTAAATTACTCCGAAAACGATTGTGCAATCCCCGGTAACACGAAACACTCGGTACTGAGTCTCCGTTTCGCGAAACTCACTTTCAACCAAAAAAAATTGTTTTTTTTTTTTTAATATTTTATTCTTCATAACTATCGAACGATCTTATTAATTCTTATCGAAACAATTCACCGTGTCTATCAGCATAGAAATTATTGATCTTTCAGCAGAAAATGCTAATATTATCAGATGTACCAATGAATAATCAACATTTTCTCTCTCGTATTCTAAATTTATTTTTTATTCCTCGATTTTCGTTCAGATATTATTTTTGCAATTGTGCGTTACAAAATCACAACAAAAATTGCTCAAAACTTTGGGCATTCTGATTCGAATCCCCCCCCAAAAACAATTAGATACGACGGATCTCAACTCTGATCCCAACTCGAAAAAACGTTAAAGAAGACACGTGATGCTTATCAAAATAATAGACAAATTTTGGGAACATGGGAAAAAAAAGTAAAGTTTACCATGATGCGCGATGTAAACTTAATGTTTTTTCGACCGCTTGAAAATATCATTCCGGTCAATTATCGACTGCTCGTCTATTTATCGACTGCTCGAACGAGACCCGATCGTCATCTATTGTTCATCGAAGAGTAAGTACGATAGCCTTATTCTATCTCTATTGGCTGACTATAAGGGAAGACCTAAGAGTAACTGTGATAGCCTTATTCTATCTCTATTGGCTTGCTAGCAGCGAACCGTTGCAAGTTCCCCTATATCTCTTACTTCTAGGCCCTAAGTCCCGCCTGAGACTTCACTTTACGTTTGTCGGACTATACATTGTAAGTACATAATATGAAAACGAATCGAGATTCACTCACCGATGCGATGGCGACGTTGAGAAGCAGATCACCCATATCGGGCTGGCGTGGCTTGCCGTTGTCCTTAGCGATTTCGAAATTCACCTTGGCACTGCAGGCTTTCCCGGTGAATCCGTGCGCGCTTCTCACTTGGAGACACTCGTCGTAATTGCCTAGCTGCTGGTAATTGCCCGTGATTACGCCCGCTGGAATTTTCACGGACGCGTCGTACACTGGAATTCAGAGGAAGGTCTATGCACTTCTTTTCTCTCCTCTCTTGTTTCATTCAAATGTCAGATATAAACTTATTTGAAAAACAAAATGAAATTTTTTTTCTATTATTTCATTAAACCCAATTTGGGAATATAGAACACGATCATTTTCATATTTAATTATCTTTATTTCCTTACTTCCTATTCGTTCTCTTCTTTCCCATTTTTTATTCCCTTATCTACTATTCTTTTTATTTTTATTCTTTTATCAGTATCATTGACCTCACTATGTCGGTTCCAACAACTATACACGCGTGATTTGAGGTTCGCGAAGCTTGGAAACACGTGCCGCTCGCTTATGGCATTTAATAATCGGCCACGCTTCATAACAAACCCACTGAAACAACCGGTTCACGTTGCACCGCGAGAAGTGCACAGTCGAATCGTCGAGGAGTTTTTCTGTCCTCGATCCTCACGATGATAACGACCGCGCCGTATTTCGAACGAAAAAAGAAGAGAAAAGATCATAATTATCAGTTTTTTCGCGAGATGTCTTCTTCGAAATAGTCGTAATTTCTGTAAAAGTACAAACGTTCTGCTTTTTAACTGTTACGAAGAGCAATTAGCTGTTTTTTTTTACGATTTTTCAAATCCCTTGGTAACCTAACCTCAAATTACTCTTATCTCTCTATTTTGACGCGCCAACGTGGCCTCCGGTGAAAGGTATCCAGCATCCACTAAAGAAATTCTCCTATAATCACTCTATTGCGATCAATCAACGCACTTACGCGGTTCTTCGATGCAATAAGGTAGGAATAATCTTCGTATACAACCAATGAAACAAATTTTTTATATGTATAACGATACTAGTTCGTTATTATGGAAATAAATGCTGTTAGAGTAGTAGTGAGACAGAGAGAGAGAGAGAGAGAGAGAGAAAGGGATTGAAAAATAGGAAACAGAAATAATAAAAACAATAAGAAATAAATAAATATAAAATAATAATTAATAATAAATAATAATTCATTCTTTTTATTTGTGAAACTATTCGTTACATAATCTTCTAACCCTTTTTTTTTTTAATCTAAACGTCTCTGAAGAGGTTAATGTTCTCATCTTTCGACCACACTATATTTCTTCCACCGACTATACATATTCAGGCGAATAATCATGACTCCTATATTATAGATCGTAAGCTAATCAACTTCGATCTTTGATACTTGGGTTTTCTTCGTGTGTTGTTTTATTTGTTGTTACATGTAGCGTCAAGTGGAATGAATCCTTTAAATTCGGATGCATTTGAAATGCATTTTTTTTTTCTTCTAAGGATGACAATTTTCGAAGAAACAACGGTGTTTTCTTAGGGTAACGAGTTCGAATTTCGAGGGATAACAAGGAAACACGTGTTGCAAAGACAATAAGGGTGATTGTTGGTCACGCGTTGATTCGTTGGATCGTTTTCGATTAACTGACAAGTGCAGTAGTGTATCATGATCACCGTTGATCATTGTCGTACACAATGCAATATTCGAAATACCTTTGGAAAAAGAAATATTACAGTTCATTGTGTTTATGATTTAGATTAGATTTAATTGCTAGATGAAGAATCTTATTCTCCTCTTCTCACAGAATATAATACAAAGAGGAAAAGGAGAAAGAAAACCTCAAATTTTCTACGAAATTTCACATCTAACCCTTTCTGTTACTCTCATGTAAAGAGAAAACCACCGAGCGACCGTTTTACGTGAAAACACCCCCCATGGCGTGTGCGCGCGCATTATCGTGTCTCAATGTCGCTTGCGCAGCACGCCGCGCCAACTGGCTCCTCATATGCATACGTACGCGGAAGTGCGTGTCATCCGTGATAATGGCTTGAAGCGCAAGGAACTACGTGGTTAACGCGTGAATTGCAAAAGGGGTCGTGCTCGATAACGCAAGCAATGGGGAAAATTGTGGCTGTAGCGATAACGTGTATTTTTCATTGATACCCGATAGCCGTGGTCACAGACGTATAGATCGTTTGCAAACAATATTGTCGATAGGGAAACCACACGATTCTACATGCAACATACGCAAAATATGGGCTGCAGTTTTACAAGGAAGCATCTTACGATCTGTTTTGATTATTTATTCTATATATGTACAGTCATGCGTCGCTTAATGATGGGTGAGGCGAGGTTAAAAATACAGATTCATGTAACACGCATTCGTATAACATGACGCAAAATTATGACGTATTCGTATAACACGGTACATAACTTCACATTTTCACAGTGTAGCAAAGTTCCTGCAATTGATGATATACTATATTATATGGTAATTATTTTATGGTGTTTATATGTGTAAAGAAATATAGCTTCATCCTCCTAGTGAAACTGTTACATCTATTATATGTAAATATGTGTTCTCAAATGCGTACATAATCCATATTTGTATAACCTATGTGACTTGTGTAACACAGAACGTATCCTGTGTGTTATCCGGGGATGATAAAGGCGATTTCGTCGTTACGCGAGCATCGTAGAATGCACACAACCAGGAAAGTATAGTCTACTACACACCTAGGCTACACGGTATAGTCTAGTGCTCCTACGCTACGTAACTGTAAAACATGTTAACTATATCGAATGTTGTAGGCAATTGTAACACAATGGTAAGTATTCGTGTATCTAAACGTGTTTAAACGTAGAAAAGATACAGTAAAAATACGTTATATTTTACGTCGAATATTCTCCAGTCTGATTTCACTCGATTCCTTTGTCATACCTGAGGCCTACAACTCCTGCTACTCTCTTACATCATGAAGTTTTTGCCAAACGCCATTCCACGTCGAAGGGAACAAAAAGAGTAAAAAAAAGAAGACAATAAAATTGCAACGATCCCACGAAACTCGTGGGCGAAGGTTACCTTCGATGCGAATCCACCCAAGTGAACGATCCCAAGGTCCCGCGAAAGGTAAAAGAGTCCACATTTCCACAAAGATGACGTGTTCCTTGATGTCGACGCGGAAAATTTATCATCAATTCTTTATGCTTCAGGAATAATTGCAAGTGCACCGAACCCTCGTGTGACGTGATTACAAGATTACGTCGCGTTGTATGTTGAATAACCTTCATCGATTGGAAAGAAAAACAATTATGCTTTTCCTAGAAGCAGCTAGGGTTAATAGCATCGCGACTTATTTAGACGCGCATTTGCATTCTTCGGTCACGAGTTCGTTTGCTCCCGATATCTTCATCGATGACCGCGCTTCGATGCGTTCTTGCTATCGCGTTAAATAGACTTGTTTTTTCCTTCGATCCTCAAGGAAAATTTTCTATATAGCTAATCGTGCATGCGAGCCACTGCTGACAGTTGACATCGCTGATCCTTGCAATTTTATACAATACGTGACAACATGATTTTGTGTAAATCACACGCATGGCGGATTTATCGCATCTCGAACGTGCAGGTGTTCCTAAACTAACCTAACTTTTTTTTTCATTTATCTCCCTCGATCTAATCTAACTTAACCTTTTTTCTTAATTTAACCATCTCCACCCCACAACATTCCAACTGTTTTTCACATTACTTCGGGGGAACGATGGATGCCTCTTAAATTCCCCGTAAAATGGCCTCATCGTATTATTGTCCTTTACTAAATTTTATTAACTTAGAGCTACCGTGTATTCGTTAAAAACAAATATTTAATACATATGTCAATAAATAAATAAGTAATAAGTAATAAAACAAATAACGGTTAATGTATAAATAAATAGGCTAGCTTAACTTAACCTAACTTTGTTTGAAAAAGGAGGAATTTCAAAGGAGGCTTTCTGAATGATCTGAAACACTGAATTTCAAAAGAATTCTTTGCGTTGGAATTTTGATACTTTCTTCGTATGGAAAATTTCAGAGTTCATATTATATTATATAAATTATCATATTATAATGTCATCTTTATCAGAAAATGTTCAAAATTCAGGCAAATAAATACATTTAATTTACAATTCCCTCGAGTCGCATAATATTCGATGGAAAGTATTCGAAAAGATTAGATCCGGTTATAATAATCGACCAGGAAGATTTATAAATTGCAGCCCTGAGATCGATCTCATCGACATTCATCTTCTTGTTGACTCGTTAAATATTCATTCGGTTGGCATTCCGGAATAAAAAAGAAGCTGCACTCGACCAGCCGTGAACTACACGATCACGCGTGGCTCCTTGGTCCTTGATTTTTTTATACATAAACTCTGGCAAACAACAAACCTTCTCAATTGGTTCCTGGATCGAAATCTAGGAAGGCTCGATTCGTGGAATCACGAGAATAAAAGACACTCGGTAAAAAATCACTCGTGCATTATGGTCACAATACAAAACTTCTTTCACCTGAGATTTTTATTACGTAGAAAAGTGAGGTTAGAAAATATTGCTTCTCACATCAAGCTTTGTTGTTGACGAAATTCAATACTGCTTCTACTGAAATTTATTATACATGACGTTTCAGAAGTACAGGTGCAAATATGTACAGATTGGTAGAGCTCGTCTCGAGAAATTAAAAAGTCTCCTTAATATTCCTGATCCTCGAGAAATTCAAAATCTCTAAATCACAAACAGAATAGTTATGTAGTAATAGATCAATAAATCAATATTAACTGAAAATCATTATTACGAAATAAAAATTTATCACTGAGATGCTCGTAGCCGCAGATTGTCAATAACGTAAGAATCAACAGAAGCTTTTTTTAAATTCACGGTGTTGCGAACAATAACATCAGAACGAACGAGAAGCATGCATGAAATGGCGCTTCCCCAACTGTGACATCGTAACGGCAACATTAGAATACGGCGATTACGACACGGATAACAACATCGTGATCGTATATTCACAAGACTTGTTAGAACAAATTTTGACAAACTACAATTCTCCGCCTGTGGATAACAGTAACGGAAACAGAGAGATGCGTCAAAGCAATGGTTCTTCGTTTGTGGTTCTATGGATAAGTACAGAATCAATGAAAGGCACGTTCAAAGGATGG